GCCGCCCGCCCCCGGGGGATGTGGCAGCGGCCCCCGGGCTCCGGGGACGCCGCCGCGCCTCGCTACCGCTGCCGCTGCCACCCGGGGTGCCCCGCCAGCCCCGGGGCGGCGGGGCCGGGGCGCCCCTTGTTGTCGCAGCGCCCTAGCGCTGAGCGCTGAGCCCTGAGCGCGGCCGCCAGCGCCCCCCGAAGCGGCGTGGATGATCCGCGACCTGAGCAAGATGTACCCGCAGACCCGGCACCCGGTGAGTGCGGCGCGGCCCGCCGAGTTGGAGCCATTTTCTTATTGTTGTCCGCCGCCTCCGCCCCGAGTTGCTGCCCCGCGCGGCCCTCCCGGGTCCCGGCGGGCGGCACCCCCGCTCCCCGAAACCCCCGAGGCCATGTCGGAGAGCACGGGGCCGGGGGGCGCGGAGCGACCGAGGGGCGGTGGAACGACCGTGTCGCTTGCTTGCAGGCTCCGCACCAGCCAGCGCAGCCCTTTAAATTCACCATCTCCGAGTCCTGCGATCGGATTAAGGAGGAGTTCCAGTTCCTGCAGGCGCAGTACCACAGGTAACGCTGCCCGGCGCTTGCCGTGGGGTGGCCGTGCTGTCCTTCGTCTGTGCCTTCTCGGGTGGGCGCGGGGAGCGGCCGGGCCCTGCCCCTCTCGCGCCGCACCGAAGCTGTCCGTGCCCCGCGCTGCCCCGCAGCAGCTCTCTGCCCTTCTGCCACCCGGCAATGTAAACCCCCCGACGAAAGCGCGGTAACTTTTGTGTCCTCGGAGTGTGGATGTACTTTTGCTCCGAACGAAGTGGAAGGTGTTCATAAAACTCGTGGAAACAAAAACTTCCCTAACCAAACCGCGGGTTTGTTTTGTGACTCCTCAGGCTTACCGCCATAGGTGCGAGACTGTGTGCGGTGCTTTCCCTGTCTCTTTTCGTCCGGGAACAGCTACACGGGAGTGAGGAGGGTTTTTTCTCTTTCGGGAGGGATCGCGGATCTCCCCTCGGAGCCCTGGGCAGGAGCCGGGACTTACCTCTGTCTGTCTGCACGTGGGGAAGCGCTGGGAAGGGGAAACCCCGAGTGTGGGGGGGTATTGGTTGGCGTGATGAAGCACCCATGCTTTTCTTGTGTCTTGCACAGTTTAAAGCTAGAATGTGAGAAGCTGGCCAGCGAGAAGACAGAGATGCAGCGGCATTATGTCATGGTAAGTGAGCTGCAGAGCAGTTAGAGCATCTGTGAGCGCGGTGTGCTGAGACCAAGATGCACTCAGGTTGCTGGAGGCAAGCAGAGAGATGACAGCGAGTGCTGCTGCTGTGAGGCTGCATCAGTGCTCCCATCGCTAGTTCTTAGTTCAGGGCTTGTAACTTCTTTGCAGCAGCCATACTGTGTGCAAAATCTGCCGCTTAATGTCCCGAGCAACGGAGGATGTGTCCTCACCATGCTGGCACATCCCTTGCAACTCCAGCAGTGCTTCTGGGGATAATGTGGTTATTCCTGCTGGTTTCCCTCTGCTGTCATAAAGTGCTCTGGGGTAATGCTTTTATTTCCATCCCCCGCTTTCCCCCCGTACTGTGTTCAGAGTTGTTTAGGTATATCTGTGGCCCAAAGCCTCCTGCCTTAGAAGAGCTGTTGTTCCTGTGCTGCTGTTCATTGCTCTACTGAACTGGGAATGGTGGGGCTTTGAGTGTGAGGAGTTTCTTAGAGGGCTATGGACTGTGTGGCCAAGTGAGGCGCGCAGGAAAATGTCTCCCTGCACATAATTGCATGATGGATTGTGTTGACTCTGAGGAGTCTGTGCTGCCCGCTACCTTGTACATCTACAAAGGATTAGCTGCTTTCTATATGTACCTGACAAATAACACCTCGGTATCCACAAAAAAAGAGTAAATAACCTTGAAAAATTCTTAACCAGGAGCACAGGCATATGTTAAGGCTTGCATTTGTCTTTTTCATGCTTGATTTGCTTAAGTCCTGAGTATGGTGTGCCACTGAGCTGCACGCTGACCCTACTCCCTGTGATGGGGGATGTCGGAGTGGCATGTCTGCCTGACTCTCTGGCCGATGTGCTTCTGCCTTCTTTTCATCCCTGCCATCCAGTCACAGCTTTTTTGTGTTTTTAATTTAAAATATCGAATAACTGTTCGTTGAGTTGTCTGCTGATTTATACGTCTGTCTGGCTTCAGGCACTTCAAGCTTTTTTTTTTTTTTGGCATCTTTCATGTGTGCTAGGGAATAAAATCTTGAGCGTTCTCTATGTGCTTTTCTGCTTCTAATCTGTAACTCTGGCTGTGATTACTTTTCATTATTTTTTTGTTGTCTGTTTTTTTTGCTTGTTCTATAGCCATCCTTTGTAGATTTGCCAAGAAGTGACATAGATAAAATAAAAAGCAAGAAAAATGGGCAACTGCGACATGCTGTCAAATTCCAGGAGCTCTCCTGGCTAGTAAACATTTCTGGGTCTCTGTCTTTGTACGGATGATGTCTGAGTCAGAGCAAATTTTGGAATGGCTGTTATAAATTGTAAGGTCTAACAGTCGTTTTCTTCTTTCTTAGTATTATGAGATGTCCTATGGGCTGAATATAGAAATGCATAAACAGGTAGGTAAATATTTTGCTTTGTGTAAGAACGCTCACTGTAATTTCTCCCATCAGCCTTAACCAGATGTCTGTTATGTGCAAGTTGCCTTAATTGCATGCTGAAGTGTGCAGGAAATTTTGTGTGCTCCTTGCTGGCCCGGACACCCCCTGTGTTTGGCTATATGGAGCACATTGTGTACAGGGTAAGACGGGCGCAACCAACCCTGAGTCACCTTGGCCTTGTGCTGCTGGGGCTGCCTTTTTGGAGTGATTGCTGCATTGTGAATGCATATCGGGTGTCAAGGGACATGTGTTTGGGTGTGGAAAGGGCTCATTCTCAGTTAACTGGGGCTGTTTTAAGCTGGAGCTACAGCGGCAATCAGTGTGCAGCCATGTTGCTGTCTGCCTCAGGTTGCCTACCAGCACCCTTCTCAAAAAGCAAGTGTCTCAGCACGTCAAACACGAAAGGGTAAAGGAGCTTTCCAGAAGGGTGATGTTTCGCTTGGTTCTATGCCTTGAAGTCTAGCACTTAGGCTGAGATTAGCAGGAGATTACTGGTATGGAGCATGGCAGTGTAAATCAGAATTTCTTATTCAGTAATGTGTGTTTTTAACCTTCTCTGGAGGAGAATGAATTAAACATCTGACCTCTTTTCCAGCGAGAGAACTTTTAATATGGTGGAGTTTAATACTGACAACTCATTTTAGCAAACGGTTGAGCAGTTCACCCATGTTGCTGGAAAGGGTGAATGACAGAAATAAATGGTTGAATGGGAGAAGAAACACCGTCTGACAATTGGCTTGTATGTGTTCCTAATCTAAGTAGTGGATGTGGAACTTCTCTGGGTTGTGGAAATAGAATTCCTTTATCTCAGTGAGAACAAACTGAATTCAGATTTTTTTTTTTTCGTGTTTGTTATATTTTGTGTCCCGTTAGCACTCCAGTACTTCCAGTACTGATGAAGGCCATTGATGTTAGATGGTAGGCTAGTACAAAGGCAGAGGGTTTTCTGTCCTTGGAGTGGTTTGCCTGTGACGCTGCAGAGCTCTGGAAGCCCGGCATAGACCTGTGGAGCGTGAGTGCAATGCCTGGCTTGCAGCCAGGCCCTGTAATGCTGTGGGGTGGAAGATGTAGGGTGGCGGAACAGCTGGGCTGGCTGGGTCCTGTCTGAAAAGCAGAGTTGGTGTCATGCACAAGAACAATTCACCCAGTCCAGAGTCTCTGCAGGCCACCTACGTAGTGTATTCTTACTTGTGTTTGAGAGCGGCTATTGCAGTTAGACTTGTTTATATTTCTGGGTGCTTTGTACGTACAGCAATTAGTTGTATGTAGACTTCAACTAACCATGCAAAATGATGTGGGACAGTATTGGCTTGCAAGTAAAATGTGTAATTAGTTTGTTTGACGTAGGGGAAACTCACTTAAAACTGATTTTAATTTTTAATTTCTAAATGCTTCAGAAACTGTGTATGATTACGGCAATGGAGATGTCAATGATATTCTGAAAAAAATTAAGTCCCTAGCTTCAGCTAAATATGAGGATGACAAAGGACCCAAGTTTTAATTAAACACCCTTTTCCAGTACTGCTCAGTCTGTTTGAATTAGTAGTTCAAGTAGTCTACTCTCATGCAAAACACTTAAATATTTTGTCAGATGTTGATTCAAATCAGCTGCGGCTATGAAACTCACTTGCTATCATTCCTAAATCTGATATTCGTTTGTATCTTCGTGTCTCCTCTGCTCTTCCCACAGTGTTTTTTTCCCTTTCTGCTCTTGCTACTGCAAATGCAACATATTTCCCATTTTGCTTTGTGATGGCAGCGTGGGGGCCCAATTTTGTGTATATAGGGAGTTGATTGTTTCATTTGATGTGCGTGAATCTTTTTTAAATTCCACTTTAAATTCCCTTTTCTTCCTCTCAGATCTTTGAATTTTCCTCGCCTGAAATTGAGCGATTCACTCTTCTTTTTTTCTTCCTCTATTCCTCTTTCCCCCCCCAGCTTTCTAAACTCAATCATATCAAAAATCCTGAGGGCAGTTTATCACATTATGAAATACAGACAGCCCTGCAAACCACCTACTTATTATATTTTCTTCCTTTTTTTTTTCTTTTTTTTTTCACTTTAGCACATCTGTCTTTATTTGTTTTTGTGGGCAGACAGCTTTGGTTCCTCTTAGGTTCTTTCCAGATGTACTGCTGGATGCCCTTGTAATGGAAAGCCGGCAATAATGCGGTGAAGTTGCCCTTCGGCGTAATTGGGCCGAGTTCTTGAGATCAGGTTAGGCTTATTCACTTACTAGATTTGCGTCTCAAAGGGTTCAAGAGCAGGACTCCCTGGAGTCCTTGGAAGTACCCTAGTAATTGGTGGCCCTGATATTTGAAACCTTTGTGTATTTTTCTGTTAAAGCTTCTGTTCTTCTTGGCTGCTCCCAGCCACAGA